TGACAAGCTCATCCAAGACATCTCGCCTGCAAACACAGTAGTTTCAATCCACATTTTTAATCATTATCAGCAGCAGAATACTATTTTTCCCTCAAAAACGAAATTTTAATCAGCATTTATCAGCTGTACATTATTATTTCTTTATAATGTATATTTGTGTGTATAAATATATAAATTGACAGTGCCCTTATTTGTTTTCCTCCAAATATGAGCAAGGTTCATGGTATTGATATACATAGCTTGGTGTAAGTTATAAAACTGCAGGTCTTATACATTAATAATATATATATATAAAAAAAAAAACAATAAACAAACCGTTCATCAAGATAAATCCGCAGCATCTTCCAATTCAGCATTCTGGTATAGAATATAAACTTGGCAATTTCCTTCGGGTGGTCCACAAGAATACCTCTGGACATGAAGTAACTGATACCCTGAATGAAAGAACCAACATAAAACAGGGTGTGGGGATTAGGAGGAAAAAGAGAAGGAGGGGGCGTGCTTTTTTACCAGACACCGCGATTTAGTCCGGAGCAAGGCTATCGCATGTCCTTTAAGTGGACACTTAAGCTTTGCTAATCTAACCTAAGACACGAGCGAGGGGGAGTCAAGACATTAAAATGCATCTCTGAACAGAAATTATGTTTTAAGAGCAGCTTGCATGAGAGAAAAGCCATCTATTTGGTTTTCATCCGGGTTGTGGTCTAAAAGCCTATGCCATGCACCATTATTCATTCTAGGTGAGCTTGTAAAAATAATATATTTAGTCTGCAGTATGAGCATTTCTAGGTTATGTGGGAATTTACAGGGTGGAGGAGGAAACCGTCATATTAATCATAGCTAGCTGGTCAGAATTGTATTTCCAAAGCACATTGTGGCTATGATCATTTCTCTGTTTCTTGCCCATTTAAACATTAAACGGTTTGCCTTCTAATTAAGGAGACGTTATTGTGGCGAGGCAGAACAAAAGCTTGTATTTTTTGTACCTCTTGCAGGTTGGCGTTGAAGGTTAGACTTCCTTCATCTAATTCCATGTAGAGTTTTCTGAATGAAAATCCAGAAGGAAGCCTTCGGTTGTATATGGAACAGTGACCCCAAGTGGACTTGCACAGGCTAGAGGGCAGACAAAGAAAAACAAGAAATTGAATTGGAGAGATGCTAATACACTTCCTTTAGCAGTGAATATTTGAAAAATAGGTCATATGTTTTTTAAAATATAATTTATTTATTGATTGATTGAATAGCTGAAAATCTAAAAGCAGAAATAATTAATATCATTTAGTTTGCATAAAATCCATTGAAACATTACACTACCATCCAAAGTTTAAGAATAATTCAGATTTTTTTCTTATACTCACCAAGGCTGCATTTATTTAATCAAAAAATAACATTTTTGTTGAAACTGTGATACATTACTATTCAAAACAATAAGTAAGAAAAAAAAAGAAAGAAACGAATACTTTTATAATTTATAAGTGAAAATATAGGCATTTGTAATGTTATAAAATATTCCTGTTTCAAATAAATGCTGCTCTTTTACATTTTCTAAGCTTCAAGGAATCCTGAAAAAATTATCATTATTTCCACAAAAATATTAAAGGCACAATATGTAAGATTTTTTTATTAAAATATCCAAAAACCACTAGAACAGTGTTATATATTTTGCTGACTTGTGTACTTACATTATCCCAAATGTTTCGAAGAATGTTTAAATCCAGAGAAATAAGCAATTTTAACTAGTGACACGGACCGTGTCCATAGTGTCATTGTGTCGCCTGCCAATGACGTCATAACCCCTCGATTTCCGGTTTTGTTTTGTAGAAAACATGGAAACACCAAAGACGCTTTAATATGTTGTGCGTTTTACTAGACCGGTGACGACTGCACAGAGTAGCATTATAACAGAACTTTCAAATGTATCTAGTATGATAAAACAGCGCTGCTTTACTCCACATACGCATGACTGGAAGGAGCGGAAGCGGTCGACTGTGGCATAATAAAAGCTCCGCTGCTTTCGAGCCGTGTGTCGCGCTCGTTCAGCGGCCTCGTTTCGCTTCGACGGCTTTCAGCCTCACCCTCCTTCATTCTACTACGTTAATAAGTCATTAGCTCATCCATGAACATGATTTCTGCCCGAGTCCCATCGGATTGCATCGGCTATGGGGATGAAGACGACAACTCCCATGATTCCACACTCAGTCACAGCGTCATCAAGCTACGCCTTTTTTTTTGTTTGTTTTGAATACGCGCCCTCTAGCGGCGAAAACTTACATATTGGGCCTTTAAAGACATCTGAATGAATTGCTTCACAAAATGATTTACTGATTCGAAGCGAAGAGTACACAAACCAACATGAGTAACAATTTTTACAAACCAAATGCATATGTTTTTATTAAATTTTAATTCATTAACATGAATATAAATAAGTTTGAACACGTAGAGTTCTTTCATTAATTTGTAGCACTAGGTTTGAGTGTTTTTGGGAGAGTTTGGCTAATCAGACCATTTAAGACTAGGGCTGAACGATTTTGGAAAATAATCTAATTGCGATTTTTTTTTTTATCAATATTGCGATTTATTATTTATTGCAAAAACAATTTTTTAAAGCTCTTTATATTCTGTATTATTCAACATGACGACTGCACAGAGTAGCATTATAACAGAACTTTCAAATGTATCTAGTATGATAAAACAGCGCTGCTTTACTCCACATACGCATGACTGGAAGGAGCGGAAGCGGTCGACTGTGGCATAATAAAAGCTCCGCTGCTTTCGAGCCGTGTGTCGCGCTCGTTCAGCGGCCTCGTTTCGCTTCGACGGCTTTCAGCCTCACCCTCCTTCATTCTACTACGTTAATAAGTCATTAGCTCATCCATGAACATGATTTCTGCCCGAGTCCCATCGGATTGCATCGGCTATGGGGATGAAGACGACAACTCCCATGATTCCACACTCAGTCACAGCGTCATCAAGCTACGCCTTTTTTTTTGTTTGTTTTGAATACGCGCCCTCTAGCGGCGAAAACTTACATATTGGGCCTTTAAAGACATCTGAATGAATTGCTTCACAAAATGATTTACTGATTCGAAGCGAAGAGTACACAAACCAACATGAGTAACAATTTTTACAAACCAAATGCATATGTTTTTATTAAATTTTAATTCATTAACATGAATATAAATAAGTTTGAACACGTAGAGTTCTTTCATTAATTTGTAGCACTAGGTTTGAGTGTTTTTGGGAGAGTTTGGCTAATCAGACCATTTAAGACTAGGGCTGAACGATTTTGGAAAATAATCTAATTGCGATTTTTTTTTAATCAATATTGCGATTTATTATTTATTGCAAAAAATTTTTTTAAAGCTCTTTATATTCTGTATTATTCAACAAAGACAAGCTATAAATCATTGTATAGTATGACCAACACAATATTAGATAGATTAAACATAAATGTTCTTTTCTGTAGGCCAGGCCTATATGTTACGATGAAATTAGGTGATGCATGAATTGATATTAATGACATTTTTATTTAACAACTACAATCACAGTATATTGACTGATTTGTTGAACTTCCAACCTTGTAAGCATGTAATAATTATATTTAAATAAGCCTGGTGTAAATACCTGTGAACCATTGCACTTTGTGCAATGACCACATTGATGTCATACACCGATCGATCTTCAAGTCGAACACACCTCTTTACTCTCGCGTGTCACATGACCGTGTAATCACAGCCTCTGCGATTGAAAAATCGCAGTTTTTCATATCGCGATATTATCACAAATGCAATTAATCGTTCAGCCCTATTTAAGACCATTAACTATCACCCTGACAGTGCACTGAATACTGAACAAGGGAGCTGACTGAGACGCACCTGGAGATTTAGTTTGGATTTTATTTTTTCTTTGTTAATTATTCTTCAACATGACAGAGTGTCCAAACACACAGAGAAACTCCTGCTGAAGCAACTGAGATCCACGGGACACACTATTATAAAGATGGCATTTATTAAAGAGGAGAGTGAAGACATAAAGATTGAAGAAGCATTCAGAGTTAAACAAGAAGATACTGAGGAACAGAAAGGTTGGTTTTCATTCTCAAAGCTCAAATCTACAGAAATGAATGATATTGTTGAAGAATGTCGTGTGAGAGTCCTAATGTATGAGTGAGCGCATGCAATCACACCAGTGTAATTAGAATGTTCATTCCGTCACATGATCATCTAGAGCCGGTTGCACCAGCTGGACGTACACCCGGTTGTAAGACTAGGCTGGACGTAAAATGCGCTTTAAGTCGTGCATAGAATTTATACCCGTTGCACCATCTCGGCGTAGTGCTACGTCTGACACTAAATCTTACGCCTAGTCAGAGGTAGGTGTAAAGTGAAAAGTCATGATTTGCTCAGACATTATTCGTTTTTAGGATTCATGTCTGTTTGTTAATTATTACTGCAGACGTGAACTGTAATGTTTTTGGTATTTTCGGGCAGGATAAGTGAATCCATCGCGAATCTTGGTGTAGACTAGCTATAGCCTACCACACTGTCGACAGTAATTGAATACAAAATATATTTCTGTACAGCATGTGATAATTATGTAGTAAAATATTACATATGAACTGGGATTATAAAAAAAACTGAACCATTTGACATCTTGCTTGGAAGGACAGTGTAAATGCTTGGAAATATTTCACGTCTTTAATTCCATTCATTATTTGTAGCGTGCCTGCCATCCAATAATCGCAAT